CCCCGCTGTCCCCACAGTGGCTCTCAATTTCCAGACGCCGGGGTACGAGATGGACCTGAACGCCGGGCGCTTCCTGCCCAACGGGCGCTGTGGTTACGTCCTGAAGCCGCTGTGCCTGCGCAGCCCCACYGGGGAGGGGTCCCGGCGCCTGGCACTGCACATCAGGGTGAGGACACCGCACTGCCACCCCCGTGTCACCCATGGCGTCCCAATGCCCAGCCAGGTGCCACCCACATCCCTTCTCCCAGGTGACACCAACCCCACTCCCCAGCAGGTGCCACCCAACCTCTTCTGGGTGACRCCAACCCCGTCACCTTAGGGTGATGCCAACCCTGTGTTCAGCCATGTCACCTTAGGGTGATGGCAACCCCGTGTCCAGCCAGGTGCCACCCATGTCCCCTCAGGGTGATGCCACCCCCATGTGGCACAGCCCAGTGCCACTCACACACCTTCTCCTGAGTGCCACCAGCCTCTCTTCTTCTGGGGACATTGACCTTGTCCTCACACCTGTTCGGGTACCACCCATGTCCCTTCTCTGAGATGGYATCAGCCACCTCCATCCTCCTTGCCCCATCTTTTATTATTTTAATTTATTTTTAATAATTTTCCATCTTGTACATTTTTTAAATTTTTACTTTTTAATTTTTTTTTGTTCTTATTTTTATTATTTTAATTTTTATTATTTAAATTTTAATTTCTATTCTAAATTTTATTAAATTTTATTTTTTTTAAATTTTTAATGTCTTAATTTATTTTTTAGATTTGATTTTTTTTTGTTTTTATTTTTATTTATTTTTTCTTTTTTTATATACATATATGTTTTAAAAATATATATATCCCCAATCCCACCAACCCTGTCCCCAAACGCAGCTGGTGTCACCCGTTAACCTTCTCCTGGGTGACACCAACCCTGTCCCCAAACCCAGCTGGTGTCACCCACAGCCCTTCTCCTGGGTGACACCAACCCTGTCCCCAAACCCAGCTGGTGTCAGCCACCATCAGCCACCTCTGTCCTCTTCACCATGTCCCCAACCCCCTCCCAGTGCCACCCTGTCCCCTCTCCTGGGGAACCCCTCTCTCCTTTCCCCGTCCCCACGCCCACCGTGCCCCCCGTGTCCCTGTCCCCGGTCCCACAGGTGATCACAGCACAGCAGCTGCCCAAGCTCAACAGGGACAAGGGCAGCTCCATCGTGGATCCCTTCGTGCGCGTGGAGATCCACGGGGTCCCGGCCGACTGCGCCAAGCAGCAAACGCACCACAAACTCAACAACGGTGAGGGCTGCCAGCTGGGCACCCGGGGACACCTCTGGGGACACCCCTGGGGACATCCCTGGACAGCTGGGCAACCCGGGGACACCCCTGGGGACACCCCTGGGGACACCCCTGGACAGCTGGGCACAGCCGGGGACACCTCTGGGGACACCCCTGGGCAGCTGGGCACCCCTTTTCCCTAGCGCACCCCATCATGGCCCCAGCATGACTCCCATTCCCCTACCACAGACCCCATTTCCCCAGTACACCCCATTGAGGCCCCAGTATCCCCCCAGTCCGCCCCAGTCCCCACCTTCCCCAGCACAGAACGGCAGCTCAGCGAGGTGGGGGCAGCGCCCTGGGGGTCCCGCTGGTCCCTGCGGGGCCATGGGTGGCCCTGGTGACAGCACTGAGAGTCCTTGCAGGCAGTGGGTGGCCCCAGAAGGTCCCTGCAGGGCAGTGGGTGACACCAGAGGGTCACTGTGGGGCAGTGGATGACCCCAGAGGGTCACTGTGGGGCGGTGGGTGGCCCCGGTGAGTTCCTGCAGGGCAGTGGGTGGCCCAGGAGGGTCACTGTGGGGCAGTGGGTGATCCCAGAGGGTCCCTGCAGGGCGGTGGGTGATCCCAGAGGGTCACTGTGGGGTGGTGGGTGGCCCCGGAGGGTCCCCACGGGCCATGGGTGGCCCCGGTGGCCGCAGCCATGCCCCACGCCGGTGCCGCAGGTTTCAACCCGCGCTGGGAGGAGACGCTGCGGTTCCAGGTGCGGGTGCCCGAGCTGGCCCTGGTGCGCTTCGTGGTGGAGGACTACGACAGCACCTCCTGCAACGACTTTGTGGGGCAGTTCACGCTGCCCCTGCCCAGCATGCGCCAAGGTGGGTGCGGGTGCCACCCCGCTGTCCCCCGGGCACGGGGACAGTCCCCTGCCACCCGCTGAGCCCCGTCTGTCCCCAGGGTACCGCCACATCCACCTGCTCTCCAGGGACGGGGCGTCCCTGTCCCCCGCCACGCTCTTCGTGCACGTTCGATGCAAGAGCCTGTGAGGTGCCTGTGGAGGGACAGCAGTGTCCCCGAGGTGCCTGTGGAGGGACAGCAGTGTCCCCGAGGTGTCCGTGGGAGGGACATCATGTCCCCGTGTGGGGGACAACGGGCTCCTCCATGGATGGGCACCCTCCTGCGCTGGAGACACCCCTGTGTGGAGGGGTCTGGGGACACTGCTCACCTGGCTGTGTGGACAGCAAGACTGAGAGACCCAAAAGGGTAGGACCCCCCTTCCCTGTCCCCCAGTGCCACCCCCTGTGCTGGTGCCCTGCTCCGCCCTCCTTGAGGGGACAATGAGGCAGTGACAGCCAGGATGGGTTGMCTGGGCCACCGACAGCCCAGCACAGCCCCACTGGGGTGGCACGGGTGACAGCAACCCCCAAATGCCACCAGTCCTGGCCATGCTTGATCCCAGCCCTTGCCTTGGGGTGCAAGRACAGTGGCATCACCACAGAGTCCCTGAGGGGACCCTGCCACCACACACACTCCATTGTGCCCAGCAGGGGACACATTGCCAACCTCTGCCCTGGCACCAGCGCCAGTCACAGATCCACACCCCAGGGTCAAGCCAGTCGAATAAAGGTTTTATTTTAACAGAGCCTGTCCCAGTGTCCCTGTCACCCCCCGGGGCCCACTGTGGGCGGATCAGGACTGAGCCCACCCCCAACCAGAGGAGCTGCCAAGCACCCATGGGAGCCAGGGGGAATCGTTGGAGCAGCCCTCAAACCTGCCATGGGGACAGGGGGAGGGTCCCACTGGGTGTCCCCCACCCACACCCAGCCTCCCCTAGCCCAGGACAGCAGGGACACAGAGGGGACACAGAGGTACTTGCATAGGTGACACAGGACCCCGAGCAGGGGGGATGTGATGGCACTGCCTTGGGGGACGTGATGGGCTCCTGGTCCCCACMGAGGCCCCACAGGTCCAGGCTGGGGCGGGCACAAGCTCTCAGGGTCTGTGGTGCCACGGGGTGTGACAGGGACACGCARGGACAGGGAGGCGTGGGAGTGCATAGACGGGGTCTTGGCCTTGGTGTGCAGCTTTGGAAACCTTTGGCTGGGCGGGCAGGAGCATCTCGGAGCTCTGGGTGGACAAGGTTTGTGACATGGCCGGAGGCTGTCCRGGCACTCCTTTCCCACACGATCTCGATGGGATGGACAAACGTTTTTCCGTGAAAACATTTCCTCGATGTCGGCGGATCCCACGGCACGAGGTGGTGGCGGGAGCTGGCGGTGGAGGCACCGGGTGGCGGGGCAGGCTGAGGTCCCAGGGCGATGCCGGTGGTGTGAATCCGGATTTCCAGAGCAAAGCAGAGGCTGGAGGTGCAGCAGCAGCGATGGAGCAGCCCCGGTGCCCGCAGCCCCGCAGGTCCCAGCAGAGCAGAGCAGAGCAGGGTGTCCCGGGCACACTCCAGAGCAGATTCCCCCCGGACCTTCGGGCACTGCTGCCCCCAGGCTCAGTGCTCACCCCATCCAGCAGGAAGGGTTGGACACTCCGTGGCTGGGCAGGAGATGGGACAAGGCATCGCTCGCACAAATAGCCCTTGGAAAGGAATCTCACGTGCTCCCAAACCCGCTTTAATGGAGTTTAACGGGAGCAAAGCAGGGGCAAAGAGCCGAGCAGGGGAGAGCCCAAAGCGCCCTCAGGGCAGGCAGGAGGGTTTGGCCAGCAGCCACCATGTCCCGGTGCTCCACGCATCAACCTCAGCTGTCCCCACGGAGAAAAGTCCCGGTCCGGCGGCCCCATGGTGACCTTCAGCAGCCGAATGCGACTCATGGCAGTTGGGAACAGGAAAGATTTAAAATATATATAATATATACTTTTATTATTGACCCGTGAAATCCATTATACGCCAATCATGATCTAGTTTCAGCAGTTACATTCCCTTGATCATGTCTTTACGAGGATGCAATTAAACCAAACGAGGAGACGGCTGATGGCGGCGGGGACGGCGGCGGCTCCGGTCCCCCTCTCCCGGCGTGGGTCCAGCTTTGGCAGAAAGGATGAGGGCAGCACCTCCACAGGCCCAGCTCCTCCACGCTCTCCTGGCAAGGGCTCCCTTACTGCAGCACCAATCCGACCTGGGAGCAATGGGAACGGGGTCAGGATGTGTCCTCTGCTCCWTTCCCAGCTCCGTGTGGGTGCTCCACCAGTTTGGGATATCTGAGAGCAGCACAGCCCTTGGGTTTGTGGCTGAATGGGCACAGGAGCCCTGCCCAGGCCTGATCTGGAGAGGTGACCAATGTTTGGGGTGTGACAAACCCTACCAGGCTGTGAAACAGCCTTGATTCATGAGCTGAGATGTTTGGGTTGGACCAGCTGAGCTCATGATGAGTAGAGGGGTGGAACACCTCTCCTACGAGTTGGGGTTGTTCAGCCTGGAGAAGGATCCAGGAGACCTTAGAGCCCTTTCCAGTGCCTAAAGGGCCCCCAAGCGGGACTTTGGGCAAGGAACTGGWGRGACAGGACACAGGGAAYRGCTTCCCACTGCCAGAGGACAGGGATKGACRGGATATTGGGAAAAAATTCTTCCCTGTRRGGKKGGGRRGSMMC